ATCAGCTGTGGTGACAACGGTGACAACATTGACATGGGGAAATTTAATTTTTTTTAATTATCTATCACTTGGCCAAAAATATTTTTATTATCTTGTAAAACAACAAAGTCAGATTTGCCAATTCTGGAATGGCAAATTTGTCCCGCACAGTGTTAAAAGGGAAACATGCAGTTTGTACACTTCATAATGTAGCATGCTCTCCATTGTGAATAAAATAAATAAAAACTAAATCAACAAAGAATTTTCCAAATAGCATATTTTTTTAAAACTATTTGTATTGATCTTTATATTTTAGATTGTAATTGACTTGAACTGGAGGCTTCGTACCTTGTGTACAGATGGCTTATATTACGAAGGTCTGTCATATGTCTGTTGGCCTTGACCTCATTTTCATGGTCAAGCGACTGCTTGAATACAAGTTTCTATTTTTGTTATGTGAATTTCTCACTTACCTATTATGTGACATACCGAATTAGACTATTTACCGGGTTTGTAATAACATGAGCAACACGATGGGTGTTACATGTGGAGCAGGATCTGCCTACCCTTCCGGAGCACTTGAGATCAAACCCAATTTTTGGTGGGGTTCGTGTTGATAAGTAATTAGTTTTCTATGTTGTGTCTTGTGTACTATTATTTGTCTAATTTGCATAGTTCATTGGTCAATGTTAAAATTTTGTTTTTGTCTATTACCATAAGCAATAGATCAATAATATCTAGTGTATGAAATGATTTTAAGGTGTACATGTCTGTCTGGCAGGGTTCATCTGACGAGTTACCTTGACCTTATTTTTTCATGGTTCATTGGTCAATATTTAATTTTCATGGTGTTGTCTGTTTGTTGTATAAGATAAGCAATAGTAAAACTATATAAGGCGTGTGTAATGATTGTCAGCTATTATACATGTCTTTCTTGCTTAAATTGGTTTATCTCACCTTGACTTCATTTTCATGGATCTTTGACAATGTGAGGTTTATGTGACACTTGTACTAAAACTTTATCCTTAGGACTATCAGCATAAAATAATTCATGAATAGAAAAACAGGCGAGACATTTCAGCTTGAGCATTCTTGTTGCATCTTATATGTTGTATTTGAGACATTATTGGTTAGAGTTTACAGGTCTGACTTGTATTGTTGAGGACCAAGCAATTTGAACAACAAGAAAGAAATATGGAATGGTAGTATGAACACATGCTCACTACCAAAAAGAAGACATATCTATTTTCTAATTTTATGTATTATAAAAGATAGAAGGTATGCTAGATAAGCATTAATATTCTCTAAAATATGTTCAGTTACTGTAAAATTCATGTGAAGGCTCGATTTGTGTTCATTTCACATTAAAAAAAATCATGTGATAGCTCGATTCACCTTAATTAATTTCATAGGTAGAAAATTTGTCTGTATTTTAAATAATTCTTTTACACCAACCGCTTTGGATTTATGTGCTTTAGGTCAAGGACAAAAAAAATGCCGTTTTTTGCAATTGAACACTCTTTTAGTTGTGACGTTAAAGATGAAGAAAACCGAATTAGACTTCTTATAGTAATAGACTGAAATATCTTAGGTAGAAGGGTTACTGTTTCATGGGGATTTAACTAATATTTCCTTTTATATTTAGATTATGTATTTTAATTGGATTCTGCCTTACTACCCTAAAAATCAGTCCAGCTTTTCATTCAAATTCTTCTGCTGTCAAACTTCTTATGCAATATTAAACCCACACAAAGAACAAAAAGAAGCAAAGTTCAGGTTCTAATTTCTTGCCGTTGAATAGAAAATATCAATGTTTGTATTGCTGGTTTCTGGTTTAAACCGATAGCGAGCTATCTGAAATACAATTTCAAACTAAAGCATTATATTTGCAGAAGTTGAAACTCCCAAACATGCCAAATAGGTCTATTACAATAAAAAAATATAAGGAAATGTGGTTATAATTGCCAATGAGACAACTATTCGCCAAAGTTCAATTAAGTAGATATAAGCAATTATTGTCAACTGTACGGCATTGATAAAGTGAGTAAAAACCCATACCGTAAAGTCGCTATAAAAGGTTTAAACATGTAAAATATGAATATGAAACAATTCATATGAGAAAAATAACTGCCTTATTTATAATAAAACAATTTACAAACAACAAATATGACCGAAATTAACCAACCACAACCACTAGACTACAGGCTCCTGACATGGTCCAAGGTTTATGTTATAAAAAGACCTTGAAATGTGTTCATATTCTTTTAAATTACTTTGAAATTATTACTGATAACAAACTGTCATGGTATCAGAAGAATGTTTTCTATCTACAGGAGAAACGTGAACTATATTAAAGACTTCATTGCAATTTAAGTGCTCCAAGAAAGTACCTAGTTAAAAATAGCTATGACCATGCATTGTTGCTTAAAGAGCAACAGTTTTAATATGAACGACTGCATATATAATCTACATATTTATTTGTGTTATAAAAACAAGGAGATGTGGTATTTTTGCCAACTATCAACAACAGAACAAGTATACTATATATAACCATAATGTCCAACGTCAGACGTCGACAAAATCGGTTTAACCCGCCACATTTATATGCACCTCTGTCCTAAGTCGGACAAGGTCATGTCATAGATACATATTTGTGTAGTTATACATTTAGTTTAATAAACGATATTCTGACATTGTGCTGTACAGCTAGATAACATCTATTTTTTTTGTCGGAGCCATTCAGAGCTTCTTGTATGGTGTGGACTGCTAAACATTGAAGAACTGTATTGGTGACTTCTGTCTGATGGTTTTGTATTTGTTGCTTATGTGATCGAACTTGACTGTCTTTATGACAGCTCCTTTTCCGTCTTCCACACAAATCAACAATGAAAAAATCATAGCGCATGAAAAGCTGTAAAAGTCTACTTGATAACTAGCGAAACTAATCGTAAGAAAAACACCCCGCACTGATCTACGTTTGAAACATTGAATAACACCATTTATGACATACACAAAACAACGACAATCAAAATGAGAAGTCATGGCTTGAAACAGGCACATAAAGAATGTGGCCATATAGTTCATCAAAAGAATCATATTCAATGCATTAATGGGTTGAAATGAAAGAATACATACAGCGATGGAGTTTTAAAATAAAGTACTTGTATTTATCCCAAACCAACTTATGATATTTGTTGATGATTGATTGATTGTTGGTTGCTAAACGTCCAGTGACAAATAATTCATGCATGTTCAGGACGAGAAAAAGTAAACAATAAATACAACAGGTAGGTCTTGCAATAATAGAGGCCCACCGGGATGATGGTCGGGGGAATTTGGACTGCCACTGGAAAATGAGGATAAATTATATTGGATAAGGACAGAAATTTTGCCTTGCAACTGGCCACCTACGGATCCCTCCGAGAGTTGTTGCAAGGGTTCTTAACGTGTAAAGAGCTTGGCACTCTCTTTATACGAGGCATCGGATTTAACCTCACCATTCTGACAGGACGTAGCTGCAAACTTGATACATCCCGCACAGCCAAACGGACGCCCCACTTTGGCAAGCGTTTTATCGCCGGTCGGAAGAGGACCAAGTGACCATATTTCTATTCCCCACTCACCCTTGGGGGTTATGATATTTGTGATAGCATAGCCGAGAACTTTTTTATTAGGTCTTGAATATGACTACAACTTTCAGTACTTAAAAATGACAGAATTTTCAGTATTGTAAAATGACTGAAATTTTTAGTACTGAAATATGACTGAAATTTACAGTACTTAAAAATGCCTGAAATTTTCAGTACAGTAAAATTACTGAAATTTTCAGTACTGAAAAATGACTGAAATTTACAGTACTGAAAAATAACTGAAATTTTATGTACTGAAAAATGACTGAAATTTTCTGTAATGAAAAATGACTGCAATTTTCTGTAGTGAAAAATGACCGAAATTTTCAGAAGTGAAAAATGACTGAAATTTTCAGTACTGAAAACAAACTTTTTCCCAACATAACTGAAAACACAAATACAATTAATTGTACTGAATACATATGAGTAAGAAATGTACTGATTGGTGACTTTTTATACCAGTACTGTATTTGTAGTGGCATTTAAATTACATGTACATGCTGTATAAATTCCTGGTAGTGTAAACATGTCTCCTGATTTTTAAATTTTTTGGCACATTTGTACTTTGATTCGAGTTACATCGGAAAATGAAATAAAAAATTGGGGTCACCTTTTTTGTTTTTTGGTAATTTTTGTAAGAAAACGTAAATTTTGGCGACACTTGTCCTTCACTTAGTTTACACTTTATCAATACTAGTATGTTATTATGATTGGATTTACTGTATGAACTATAAACTACCAATCTCTTTTAATGGCGTCTTTGTGAGTTTTATTTGTTATACTGTTTGTATACGTACTATCAACTACATTATCTTTTTTTCGTGGCGTCTTTGCCCGATTCATTTGCATGTTTTTGTTTTAATCTTCCAGTCAGTTGTGGTGAATGTCTATGATGTATGTTAACACAGTTTTAGCTGCTGTATCCGAATTATGGCCACATTGACCCATTATATCTGTTTCGGTTGTTCACCCAATTTTGTCAATATAACGGAACTATAGATAACTGTCATACAAGTAGAACGTTTAGGTAGCTATAAAACTAGATGTAACCCATCATTTAATTACGAAATTGCCTGTACCAAGTGAGGAATATGACAGAACTTCGTTTTTCAGTCGTTTCGATGGTAAATGTATAGGTCTAACGTTCAATTTTGTCAGTTTGTTGGATTTTTCATTTTGAATGTAACATGTGTAACGTGGAGTTATATTTTTTTCTATAAGATGCAAAAATATATGTCTTCCACTCTTGTAACATAAGAAAACTGGTTTGCTGATCATACACTTTAATTTACATAGCATTCTCTCTCTTTTTGAATAAAAGCATACTCCTGTGTCTTACTTTAGCAGATTGTAGGAGCGATTGGTAGTATCGAGGGTGAACAAAATCAAATATTCAGTATTTACATGAATTTTATTTTTTGCATATATCATGTAAAGGAACAATTGACAGATGCGACATTAACATATTAAGCAATAGTTACTAGATATCAGACTAGATAGTATAACTACATATTTATAAGACTAGATACAAAAAAAGGTCATTACATTCAAATTTTCTAAAGTTTCAAAAGAGAATATTAATTGTGGTAAGAAATACAAAACAAATCAATTTGAAAATGACTTTTCAAGTCGTGCTATTTGTTCCTTCAAAGAGATTCAAAATGAAATATCATCAAAAAAACTCACTTTTTATTTTTGATTCACTTTTTGCTTTGGTTACAAGTAACACATTGTACATTTTCAAGAAATAGTATCGAACAATACCATTATATGGCTTTAATTTGTCCGACTGTCACCAGTTTCGACAAACGATATTTACCGTCAAGGAAAAATCACTCAATTTCAGCTGCTATACCAACACCTACCACATGCTCCCAAAACCTAAGATAATTTGCAAACAATATAGGAAAATAAAAATACTCCTAACAAATAAAAATAAAAAGTAAAATCACAAAAATACTAAACTCCGAGGAAAATTCAATCGGAAAGTCCCTAATCACATGACAAAATCAAATGACAAAACACATCAAACGAATGGACAACAACTGTCATATTCCTGACTTGGTACAGGCATTTTCAAATGTAGAAAATGGTGGATTGAACCTCTCACTTGTACGACAGTCTCATCAAATTCCGTTATATTTACAACGATGCGTGAACAAAACAGACATAATAAATAAAATAGTCAAAATATGGGTACAGCAGTCATCATTGTGTTACAATATCAATACAAACAATCATTTACAAAAAAGCACAAAAGCATCTATCAAATTAAAAACCACATTCATTGCTTCGCGTGTCTGACGTCAGAAAATGTAAACGTCACATAAGAAGAAATTTTGTCGTTCAATGTTTATTCAAAACAATTTTATAATTTCACATGGGGAATGTTGGTATACAGGGTTAATTTAACATTTAAATGGAATTCCTTCAAGCATACATATCTAATATCCTGTTTGTCATAAAAAGGATTTATTTTTATTGATATGAAAAAAGTTATAATATACATATTAATATATCAATATCATTCTATCAATTGAGATACACTATGTTCTACACTCGTTTTCAACTTAATACTCAAACGTAAATTTGCAAACACAAGGACTATTGGTCATTTGATTTTTTCTTAATTTGAATATCTAGAGTGATTATATATCAGTTCCAAATTGCCTAATGTCAAACACGATAAAGAAAAGCGTCTACCAAATAATTAATTGAACATGATGGTTAAAGGGTGAAATGCAACTGCTGAAGAAACCGACTTTTTGTTATCTCTCGAATTTTGTTATGCTTTCTTTTTAAAAGTAAACAAGGTAACTTCGCCATTCTTATTTAAATTCAGAACGTCACCATTCATTAACTATTATTCTGATATGACGTGTTTCTTTCGCTTTGTAAACAACACTGTAATAAAATTCTCGATATAACTATACTTAGCGCAGATTCAGAATGTACATAATAATGGCTGTTACAATATATCGCTCACGTAATTCCTCATGTATCGTTACCTATGTTCAAAACGCTATGCCGATTTCGTGGTGTTAAAAATTGCAATTGAAAAAAATTCCAGAACCTTTATTCTTATGCTAATGCATAACAAAAAGAATTAATGCATTAGAGCTCGGTAAACTGTACAAAATCAAAATAAAATAAAATTCCGCGAACTTGCATTAATGCTTTTGGCGCATTAAAGTCATTTCAAAACATGACGTCATACGAATGAAAAACACGAAAGCTGGAGGTTTTTCGGTGGCGTGAACTCTCTAAATTCGGATGCTATTGCATTAAAATGAAGTTTTGAGATAGGTATTGTTTTATTTTATATTTTATTGCATTATTCGCTCATTGGCTGGTTTCAGCAAGTCAACATGGCGGCTCCTTAGTTACGAAATGTCATTTGACGGTATCTTACGAGAAAAAAAATGTAAATTAAAATGGCAAATGTTTGGGTTGAGAATTAAAAGAATTAAACATCTTTTAAACAGTGGTTATTTAAGAAATAATTCATGCAGGCTATAGATTTATTTGAAATTTGTAGCTTTACTCTAACAGGGGGTAAAATAGAACAGCCACACACACGGCATACCCATCCTCGCTTCAGGTTTTTTAAATGAATGTATTTGTCTTATTAGAATTGAAATAATTTATGGAAGCTATAGATTTGTTAAAAATTTACACATGACCTGAGCCTTGATACCCGTTAATGTTATTCTTCCTTAAAACTCAGGATAAAATTCGAATATCACGGCCAAGGCCATGTGTACATTTGCAACAAATCTATGGCTTCAATGACTTATTTCCTAATTTGTATATTTAAGATACACATTATACTTAACAGTCGTGAAATTGTTATTGATTAACGCTTTCAGTAACTAGCCTATATATCTATTTTGCACATTTCAATTCTTTCAACAGGTTGATGTACTCGTAATCGGAATACTAACTAGTATGTTTTTGTCTATTTGTTCTTTTTCAATTAGTACTTCGGATATATCTTTGAGTTTGTGGATTTTAGCAACATCAAGTGGAGTTCTGTCTTTCTTATCTTCTTTATTGAAATCTACATGATATTGTTCTAGTAAAGTTTTCACAATTTCGAATTTATTTGTCTCACATGCAATATGTAAAGGGGTTGATCCATCTTCGTTTTGATAATTTGGATCAGCTCCATACTTAATTAAAGATTTAGCAATTTTGTTTTGTCCATTTCTGATAGCTAAATAAAACGGGGTGTAACCTTTGACATTCGGCTTATTTATACACGAATTTATATCATATTGTATTAACAGGTTGACGATTGCAGTGTGTCCAGACTGACATGCTAAATGTAACGGAGTATCCCCATTTTTATTAAAACAATCAACCTTAGCTTTATTTTGAAGTAAAACAGAAATCACTTTGACGTTGTTTTTAATGCATGCCTCAAGAAGTGGAGTGGATCCTAATGAATTAAACGCATTGATATGAACGTCCTTTGTGAGAAGAAACTTTACAAGCTCGATGTTACCAGATGAACAAGCTAACATAAAGGGTGTCACTTTATTGGTATCCATTTGATTAACTTCGGCATTATATATAATCAATAGTTTAGCCACAGCTGTATTGCCCTTCGAACATGCCATATGCAAAGGAGTTTTACCGGTGTTGTCTCTAGAATTTACCTGTGACTTATCACTTTCAACAAAAAAGAATGAGAAATCAGTGTATCCAAGGAGTGCTGTAACGTGCAGTGGTGTTGATCCGTCTCTTTTTGACTTACAGAATGAAGGCTTTTCAGTTTTCAAAATGTTTTCTAAAAACAATAATCGATATTCTTTACTTTTCATTTGACTAGTGTCAAAAACATCCCAGTTTAGGCCATTACTTATATCATCTCTAATTCGCCTAAAATACAATTTTTCATATTTACTTTCAATTTTAATGGTATTAGAATTTCGATCAGTGGTAAATTGCAAAAGTTCAATGTAGTCTTTAATGAATTCACTATTACTGTGCTTCAGTATACATGGAATGAAATGTCTACCAACAGCTCCCACTAGCATATCAAACATGGACTTATTGATAGAGGTAAACGTTAAAAACGTTTCTTTGATATATATATTTTCCAAATGTGACAGGCTGGAAGAGATTCCTTTCGATGATATAAAACATCCATAATCAATATCTTGTAGCATGTCATTCAAAACGTCGTTAATTCTGAATTCGGATGTTTCCGTATGGTCGTATAACATGAGTGACCGTTTATCGATGCTGTTGTTATAGATCACTAATAATCCCAAGGCTATGAAGCAAGGATCTGAGGAAAGCCTTAGTTTGTTTACTTCATTTTCGATGATATCATTTGGATATAAAAAGTAATCAGCTATTTTCTTCTTGTCTTGCTCTATATATCGCATACAAATCATTGGAAAAAAATTATATAACATTATAATATCATCATGAAGTGGCTTCATTTCTTCTGCAGAAACAAAACAGCTGCATATCAGTCGCCTCTCTTCTATTGTTAAATGCATTTCATCTGCTAACATATCACAATGTATATGAGGAAGTTTCAATAAACTGAATTTTTCATTCCTATAAATATATGATCTACATGTAACTATCAATTTAGTATCCCAACCTTGACCTAGAAAATGATTAATGAAATGTGTCTCTGTTCCCCAGGTTTGTAAACTATTTTCGTTTAAACAATACTTTCCTACGATATCGTCTATCACGAAAACTTGTTTTGTTTTTGCATTTAGAGACTCAGTGAGTTTTAATGGATTTGATATAACAACTATCGTATAGTTATCTGTGTCATTCAATTTCAAAGCAGCTTGATGGGACAATAATGTCTTTCCGCAGCCTGGTGGACCTGCAATAATTGTTACTTTATTTTCTCTTATAGTTTTATATATGCACGTAAATGCTTTTGTAAGAATAAATCTATCTTGAACTGTTCCTCCTTTTATATATTTTAAATGCATTTGCTGTTCTGAAAGTAAAAAGCATAATTGAAATTTTCAATACGATATACAGTTAAATTCACTCAAGTTTGCTAATTAAATATTTGAAGACTTGAATTAACCGTTTTTTTTTCAATGCATTGTTTTAAGTATGTCATACATTTGCTCTTTTTACGTTGCTACCAATTTCGATCAAACAATTTCCTTGAGAAATTCAAAAATAAAGTCAAGAAAAAGGGCAGTGATTATATTTACGTTATGTATTGTTAGTATGAGTGAAATCGGGTAAATGAATAGATTTGAATATTTCTTAAATATGGATTGCTTAGAAACACAACATAAAAAATCTCACAGAAAACCCCATCAGACACCAAGTGTAATGTTGGGAAAGGGTACCTGTTCCACTACTGACTTCAATCGTTATTTTTATAATAACTTATAAATCATTTTCCAATGTTGTTCTTTAATAGTTAAGTTGGGATAAAGGTTATGTTTTTTGAGGAGTTGTGAATACGCATATCACTGTTTGCACTTATAGTTGATTCAAGAAAATTCTATTGAATAATTATGCAATGTTTTTGATAATAATAATGTTTTTGTGTAAGTTTTACTGAAATTCAGTGAGTAGTTTCAAAGAGATTGCAAACACACAATTTGTGGATTTAATGTCAATGTTCTACTGGTTTACAAGATTAAATAGAAAGTAAGGGGCAATATAACTCCATAGGCAAAAAACAAAACACCAGACAACACCATTGTCAAATACACAAACCGTTCGGAAACCCAAAATTCAGAAACGCAAACACAACCACAAACCGAGGTTACACTCAGGTAACTGGTAAGGATAATTTTAAGCACTGATGAAACAAAATACTCGTATACATATAATCCCTAAAGTGGTTTCAGTAATTTGAGAATTAAACTAACCTTCAACAAATGGTTGTAATACAGCTGTTTCTTCATACAAATCTGCTTGGATGTGCTGTAGCTTTACTTCATCAGTACAGTTACTTGTTTCTAATTTAAATAATATGTACAACATGATAACCAATATTTAATTCAAATAACAAAAAGTTCAAAAATAATAAACTATGAATGAACTCGTTATGATGTATCGGCAGTTTGTATGTATTTAGACTTGACGCTATCAACTTTTATATCGAAATGATCTCTGAAGACTGCCGACGATCTAACGATCTGATATAAACATAAACAAAAGTAGACAGACAACCATTTGCAATAGTGTTATGACAACGTTTTATGGTCTGTTTGATTTCATGTTATATATTTAAAAGAATTGCAAATTATCGTTTTAGCTGTATATGATTGAGTTGTTCCTGGTGGCTACGTTGTTTTACTTTTCAATGTAAAAATCTGTTCTTTTTAATAACTGAACATGGTTATCAAAGGCGTACCCGACCTCAAATTAAATGATGCATGAATACGAATTCAAATGAGTTGGTGTATTGACTTGCAAAAAGTAAAATAACAAAATTACCGAACTCCGAGGAGGAAAATTCAAAACGGAAAGTCCCTAATCAAATGACAAAATCAAAAGCTCAAACACATCAAGCCAATAATACATTAACGATGTTTTTGTGCTTAATTTGACAAAACTGAACTAATATGACATGTAATAGAAAAATGTTGTTTCAATATTCCGCTTTTACAAATGTTTGATGCCAAAAAAACATGTATTATATGTTCTAATCACAATACTTGCTAATGCCCCTTTAAAAACGTTAAATATTTCATATTGGCTTCCCAAACGTGGTCTCGTGTTCAAGGAGCCAGCTCTTTAAAATCGACATGATGCCAAAAAAACATGTATTATATGTTCTAATCACAATACTTGCTAATGCCCCTTAAAAAACGTTAAATATTTCATATTGGCTTCCCAAACGTGGTCTCGTGTTCAAGGAGCCAGCTCTTTAAAATCGACATGATTGATTCCATACATTCTGTGTAAGTATATTGTTCATAAATTGTGTATTTGTATTAAAGATAAAGTTGATGCTGCCTGGACAAAGCTGACAACAGACTTTTTTGCTGAACACACTTTGGTTATACCATTTGGTTTTATATTCTTCACGGTTCTAAATTTTATGTATTGTAATCATTTTAATATCTACAGTACATGGTAAATGATATTCAATTAACTGTTGTAATGCGATTTGAAATATATTGTAAAACGTTTTGTTGTTCCATCGGTGGTTAAAATACCTAAGAAATAACACTTCAGTACGCTTCGCAAGATATATGAAACTTGTTCGGTATCTAACGTCTTGCATTTGCAAAAATGTATATCAAAAGAAATTTTTAGCCACATGAATTAATGTGTCTCTTAAAGTTATGATAGAATATATGTAAAACATTGGTTTTTGTTAAGGAAATTCCTTTTTCCATTATTCATATGAATATTAAAAACATTACTGAATTCTGTTTTGATTACAATTTCGAGCAATCGCTGAGTGAATGGTATGTGCCGAAATGTTTGGAAATTCTTTGTTTGCAAAACCTAAGTGTAATTTTAAGAATCTATAATACTTTAAATTAACTTCAGGTAGAAAAACATGATGATGGTCCTCTTGGACAGAAACATCGCAGCTGTTAGTTTAAATCTTGTTTTTCCGGTTTGTTTTACTATTCCTTATTCAAGGAAACTTGTGTCTTACATAACATTCAATGTTTGTATTATATTTTGGATAATGATCTATTTTGGCCTCGAGCCTCACTGCTAAGACATTAATTTTCGGAATGCGTTCCTTGTGCATTAAAATTGGTAACGTTTACATATGTATATGTTATTCAAACAAAGGTTTCTATTTTAAACCTAGGTACGTCAGCACACTAGTTATATATAAATAGAAACTAATTATGGATCTTTCAATACATATGCTTTTATTTAATGATAGCACACACAGTCATTTCTGAAGTCTTTTTAATAGCAATAATATTACTCACTCTTTTCTATTTTCACTGTATAGAAACACATCAACAGAATGATAATTATGAAAACTACAATAAACAAAACATTCAAATTTCATTTAATACTTTGAAAACTATTATTATATAAATGGATAAATAAATTATTCTGACCTCACCACAAGAGAAACGGCATTTGAGCATCAATGAATAAAGGCAACAGTAGTATACCGCTGTTCAATAGTCATAAATCGATTAAGCGACAAATCCGGGTTGCAAACTAAAACCGTGGGAAACACATCAACCATAACAGGAAAACATCGGAACAACAGAAACAATGAACTGCTACAAAAACAAACGCCAACATACATTGAAACGGACAATTTGATAACAACTGCCATATTCCTCACTTGGTACAGGTCATTTTAAGAAAACAATGGTGGGTTGAACCAGGTTTTACGGCTACCCAAACCTCCCGCTTATATGGCAATGTTAAAAATACCGCTAGAAAGGACAACATTACGTGACAGGAATACATTACATATAAACGCAAGAACACTCAGGACAGAGAAATACATCAATAAATAATATAATAGTACATAACAACATGTAAACCACAGAATAACAACGGACAAACTTCCATTAACTTACGACCGTACACCAGTACATCACAAGAGAATTATTTAATGTGCGTCACACGAATGTATCAACGCCACAAAAAGTGACGTCACAGGTAAATTTCTAAAAATAGAATATAAATGTGGGATTAACTTTAATGGTGTAATTATTTTAATTTTCTAACCATACTTTTTGTTCTAAATCAAAACTGTGTAAAACAAATAAATCCTGTACATAAAGTTGCTTTAAACTAAAAATCATATAAATGGACAAGCTAATCAATTATCTTAACTTTTACATGCATATAAAAAATAAGAAAGAATTCAAACCACAAACGATCAGACATAACACAATATCCAACCAGACTTACAAAAGAAACATCATAACTGAATACATAAATGTTGGATGTATAAATACCGAGACACGTCTAAAAGCAATGCGAATTCACACTCGACAAAACAGTTATATTCGGGAATGGGTCACATGCGGTACTTCGCAGAACAGACGACGTAGATGGTAATGAGACCTTCGAATGGGGAAACAAAAATAGAAGCCAAACTACGGTCTGCGTGTCTTAGCAAAATTCTGATTCATATGAAAAAAATACATTTATTTGATGACCTTCTATTATAACCTATCACATTCTCTTTGAAAAGATATGTGTAAATTTTGCTGTTACATGTATACATAGTATCTTAAACAAACTTTCATTTATACTGGTATAGTAAAATAAACATTCAAAAGGTAAAGTATGTTCTATACAATTTACCCTTCTGGCTGTAATGTGCATGGGGGGGGGGGGGGGGATTACTCGCCCCGCGCAAAATTCCCGATGCCACTTTTACCAAAGAGAAAATGTTGGTTGCAGGCATTACAGATAACGTTCTGAAATACTATCATACCAGGAAAAGCGGAAAATGGAGACTATACGCAGTTGTTCTTCGTTTAGCATGACAATATACAAAACACCAAAGTAATAGCAAGGATAATTACCCTTAAATTGAGATCCCCAAGCAATCATTTTTATTTAAAGGTGAAATTATTAAGCATAACGAGTTGCTCATCTAAAATCTAATACAAATAACGCTGAGATATTTTCGGTAGCATTTGGGTTATGCAGTCATATCAGCTGCAATGAAGAAATTTTAGTTTTTACGTTATGCAATTTGCCCGTCCCAAGTCTGGTACATAGTGAATGGTTTACTCTGTTTATATTTTGTTATTTATCTGTTTTGTTGCACACTTTTGTGTTGATAACTATAAAATTGCAACTTTTTGGTACGGTTATTCACACATATTCTAATCCTCAGACGAATTAAAGCTTGACATTTAACGTTTTGTCTGGTTTAATTGTGTTTCGGATTTGTTTTTTCTCAGTTGCGTACACCGAACAGATATGAGGTCATATGTGTTTGTGAAGTTCAATTCATTTTCACTTATATGTATTTGAAAAATTCTCTATTGTTTTTTTTTAAAAGTACTTCAAAGTTGATTGATCTACCCAGCGATATTGTTGTTTAATTTAGCCTGGATATTGTTTTAAAATCATCTTTGTTTCGTATTTTACCTGTGATCAGTGTAGAAATACTAGTCAAAACTTGTTTTATGTTCATGAGTCTCATTTGACCTGGTTTGGGATTTGCTGAAGAAAAAAAATAGCTTGATTTACGAAAATGATACATATGCAAACTATACTGAAAAGCTTCTTCTATCTCAACTCCAAATTGAATGATACATTTTTACTGTAAATTACCAGCATTATGTATCGAAAATAAAACTGTCTACAAACAAACGGATTTTGCTGTTTAAGTAAGTTTGGGTGTTATGCTTTGATTGAAAAGAAAAATTTATTGATTAATGCATCAGAAGCTCTTTTTTGGATGTATCTACATCAGGAATTTTAAGTGTTGCTATTCAAATTGTTTGTCTCTAAAGTAGCTGATGATGTTGTGCGCGCACAAAGTTATGCGGTTTTTCTCATTAATCAGTTTGTACTAATATGATCAATTACTGTTTGTGTGTACATATAATTGACTCCAAAATACCCAGTACAATTTGATGTGTTTAAAATTCTATCAATTTTATAACATATCTTGAAAACAATAACTTAATATTAAGTCAAAAAAGTCCACACAATAACAAGGTTTATAGTTAAGTACGGCAGTTGCGGTCTAAGTCTCCATAATACGTACCAGCTGCGCTCGGATCAAAACATTTTAATTGCCATATCAAGAATGAAAAATGCTCTATATTTCTATCCTTTTGTAATCTTTAAATGAAAAAAAAACCTAAATAAACTTAATCTGTCGTTTATTTTAGAAAAATGAAGGCCAATATTTTGAAATAGGACTGTTCATGCTTATGTTTAGGCAAATACAGATTGTAATCATGGCACTAAAGAAAAGTGCATGCATACAAGAGAGAGGCGGAAAATACTAAATTACAAATTTTGCTTTTGAACAAAATTT